GTTCCTGCATTCCTGCACATGCTCAGTACACTGATGACAGTATCCTAGCTACTTGTAGCTAACCAACTGACACAACATACACATATGCCACATGGAGATTTTGGCCTACTAAATTTTGACCATGCTGGAATCCCATCACATTCCCCCCTTTGATGCCTCTGATATAACATTATTCCAGATGCATCACCAATCACAGTTTTACCTACATCTCTCAAGTAGCCATTGAACCAAAGTAGACCTTGTAAGCATCTTAAAAACTCCTTCAACATTCTTCATCCTGAATATATTCTCTTCGGGCTAGGGGATCATATCTTCCAGACAGCCATTACATGAGCCGCTGTCTTTCTCTCTATAGTACTCTCTATAATACTACGTAGGGACCTGACCACTAATGGAATTAGACAGGGCAGGAGGAGGCACAAAAAAAAAATATAATAAATTCTACTCCTCCTACTAATGTCTTAATTCCTCCAAGCTGCTCATACCAACTTCCAAACCAACTACTTAGGTTATACCCATTCCAGACCTGAGTAGGTACATGCACAAATTTAACCATGTGGCTTGTAAGTTCAGCCACTGTCTGCCCTTCATCATCTATGTGCAGACAACAGTTACTTAGATTAAACTTTCCGCATACACCTCCTTCTACTGCTAGTAAGTAATCAAGGGCTAACCTATTCTGGTATATGGCTGACGGTATCCTGGTATTTTGCTTAGCTAGAAGATTAAGCGCTTGAGCTGTCTCATTAGTAATAATCTCAACTACCGCCTGTAGTCTAATAATGCGGTTGAGCATATATATCGGAGTTCTATATCCATAAGTGCCATCTTCTGCCCAAGTAGCAGGTCCATAATAATTAATAATACGTTGAGGGGGCCACTCATTATCTTCCCAGCTACCTATATTCAAGGATGCTCTCTCCTTTTTATGATTTACATCGTAAACCTTAACTCCCAAGGTCTCTCCTGTTTCGATTGGCAACAAGAAGAAGGATGGCTTTGGCATACCTAATACACATGCCCCTTCCCAATCTTGTGGTAACTCCGAATATGTTTTCTTACCACAAATCCAGTATAAATTTGCTGGGGCTTTCCAACTAGATGTAGCCGGTAAGTCAAACCAGATTAGTAGGTTCCGAGACATTTGAAGCTGACCACCAAGTAGTATTTTTAGTATTAACATTATAGGCTTTTTGTCCCAAGCAAGTTAGCTCACCTACAAACGTGTTATACATTGTCCCTTTCCTGGCTATACAAACATGACCTATAATGGAGGTTTTTAACCACCATTCTGATTTACTTCTAGTACTTACTTGATGATCAGACTGGAAAGGTATCTGTTGTTCATATGTCTCAGAGCCAGGGTACCATATTTCCTTTGCCTCCCATGGCCACTGGTCTCCCATATTAGTACCTCCACACACATAGCAATTAGTTACATTAAGACTACCTGCAATACCCTCAGCCAAATCAATAAATAGGTTGTTAACATTATGGGGAATTTTATCCTCAATACTCATCTCCTCATAGAAGGAATGAGAAACCTGATGAGTTTGAGTTGCCACTGTCTCAGTTTCAAGACCTACATATATTATTGTTCCTGAATCTACTCCTGTGCCATATATTTGGAACCCAAACAGACCTCCAAACCTGTCAATAAAGTACTGCAGATTGGAAATGGTCATGTGAACGGGGTTGCACACATAGTTTTACAGTATGGTGTGGTAGGCAACCTTTGGATAATCATATCTTGATCCACTGTTTTCCCCAGGTTGCCCAACCTACACATGACCAATAGGGGCAGAAGTTAGTCTCTATTTGGGCAATCAGGATCAGTAGATCTTTTACTGGGACATAAGTATTTATCATTAAACCCATAAGTTCGTTCCCATTTAAGATTACCACATACATTCCAAAGTCTTCCACTACCCGAAATCGCCTTACATGCATCAAATAGTAGAATACCCGTGGAATGTATGGTGCTTATCACAGTCCTATTTATCAAAGTTCCCTGGGAATTACTATTCCTAATTACCAACCAAATTGTACGGGGTTGGAAATGGGGATCAAAACATTTAGATTCTCCTGATATTGGCTTGCACACACTATAATCAATATCCAAATATCTACATTTAGATACAGATCCCTTACATTCATACTGTGAGTGCCAGATGAGAGTTTGGGATATTTGGTTACCTGTTTTAGTAGTCTTAATGCAACTATCGCAATTCGGTATGTCTGTACTCCTAACTTCCTGAAAAATCATAAAAATACTAAGACACATAATAAAACACATTATTCCTGAAATCCTCATTTTACTTCAACTGTGCGATGGCCTCTCAGCTTCCCGATTGTGAGGGCTGCAAGGATGTTGTTCTTCTGATCCTCACTTTCCTTCACAGAGATCCCTTCAAGATACTCTGGCTATGACACGTAGGCAGGTGGTCAGGCTTTATTATGGCCGTCAAAACACCTACTTGATGATCTTTGTAGACTTTTAACTAGAATGTCTCGATATCCCCTCGTCACTCCGACTGAGTTGCACGCTTCAACCGGGTCCTGCAAGGATTCTCAGGATCTGGAGTAGCTTGCCAAGAGTCTGCTGCTGGTTTAACCTTAGAATGATGAATCCAAGGAGTCACTTCCGCCACCTTTACAGCTGTTGGGGTAGATAAAAGAACAACATACAAAGGCTAACAGGATACACCCCGAGCTTTAACTCAATATGTATTGGTGGGATATTACGAGCAAGTCCTGGAGGATTATTTTCTTCCCATACTCCTGGAATGTCAAATAAGGATTCATCACTCTTAGGGTTAATACTTGTCACTATGGAATAGAAGCGTCATTCTTCTTCCCTTGGCACCGATATCGCCATTATGCCTGGTAATCCCTTAAACTTCAGAGATGTTGATCCATTAGATAAAAGGTTATCTGAGCTTAAAGCTTCGATAATAGATCTCGTCCTAAAAGTTGAATCGGACACTCTGACATATATAGGAACTAATGCTTCACCACATGGCCTCCCAGAATACAAGTGCGACTCTTAAGAACCGGTCTAGCTGCACTTCTCCCAGTAGCTCCTATCACAGTTATAGTCTTCCCCGAAGGCGGAGCCACCATCTTAGTCACCACAGAATGTTCAGCACCTGTGTCGATCATGAAAGAACTTCTCTTTCCCCCTATTGCTACATCGACCATAGGCTCCGCTCGACCAAGTGGGATGGAGCCCGGTCGGTATCAATAGTCTTCCATGATAGTGTCAGCCAGACCCACAAAATCTCTATCCTCTCTTTCTCTAGGTCTCTGCGTGGGTAGATAGTATCTGTCTCCTTGAACACTTCCTCTACTATTCCCATCATTCCCTCTAAAATTTCCTCTTACTCTATAACTACCACTATAACCTCCTCGTACCCTTCTCTCTCCTTGTCTATCACCTTCATACTGCTCTCTCTGTGGACACTCACTCTTCCAATGTCCCTCCTTTCTACAATACGCACATTAATTCCTACTTAAAGTCCCTTGCTCAGCCTATTCTCGTCTCCTCTATTCACTTCCCTGTCTTTCTACACTTAAGATAGCTACCGCTAGCATATCTGCCTTTTTCCTCATTTTACGTTCTTCCTCCGTCTCCCTATTCATATATATTGTATTTGCAATCTCCATTAGCTGTAATATGGACATCCCTACAAATCCCTCTAATTTCTGTAATTTCCTTTTACTATCACCTTGGGCCTGGCTAACAAATGCTGAGTCTATCATTCGGAAGTTTTCAGGGGCTTTAGGATTGAAAGGAGTGTACAATCTATTTGACTCAAGCAGTATCTAATATGGGACTTCGACAAGGCTGCTCAATAATAGGTTCCAGTCTAGGAGTAGTAAGATAGGTGTAAGGGGGTGAGCTAATTTTATTAGTCAGCATTTGGTGGATGAAAAAAACTTTTTGTTTAAAGTGTTAAACCAAAAACCTACCAGTAGGTGTCACCAGAGGGTAATTGTATCAAAATAATCTTTATGGGTCTAATAAGAAAACTCAACTTTTAATATATTTATACATAAAATAAAACCTTATAGCAATAAATATATTAAAATAGGGTAAGCAATCCTACTTCTATCTGTTATAAACAATGTATTATTATCAATGTAACTCCCAAAGATGGCCAGTAGGTGGCTTAGAGTGCCTCCCTAAAGTCAAATGAAACAAATAGACTTTAATTAATTATGTCCTATTTTATTATTACTTATTTTAATCAATGTCCACCCTGCTAGCTAGGCTTGATTAAATCTTTAGTTCTAAGGTAAATTAAACATTTCAGTTTGTAGTTTAGTAAAAGGGGACATTTTGGACAAAGCTGGGAGGGGCCCATCCAGTAACTAAAAAAAACCAATATACCATCTGATACCATTGATCATTGATTAGGGGGAGGGGTAGTACAGAAATACAAGAGTTTGAAACACAGGAACAGATAGGTATGTGGGTAGGCGGGGACAGTAGAGCAGGGGGAGTGCAAATACTGACTATATACCAGTTTTGGGAGTAAGAAATGGGCGTGGCTACTCTGGCTCTGGAGGATGTTTGGGGGGTTGGTAATCAGATGCCAGGGGGGAGGGGATGTCCAAAGCAGTTGTAATTAAGTCCTTAGTTCTGACCACCATATGGCTACATTGTTTCCCATATGACACAGTTTAACTCACCAAGGCAGTTTTTCAACAATCAGTTACCAACAGTCAATATATAGAAACTGATCATAGAATTCCAGCCTACTAGTTACAGCCACATGTACACCCTGCACTAAATTTAAGTGAAGACTGCCACATGGAGGCCATGCAGCCACCAGGACAGGCTACTCTCTACTTTTTTTTATTTTTTTTTTAAACATACAAGACAAAAGACTAACAGCCTAGTGAATCAGAAGATCATTGCAACAGAACGTCTGATTCAAAAAGCTGTACAAATATACACACAGTTTCAACAGTCACACCAATCTCCTTATCACCAGCAACACATTGCGCAGTCACTAGGCCCAAACACACACACAGGATCCTCACATGCTCAACAATATCACGACGTCGCACACACGAAATTAAATCAAAAACCCAAAGACTATACACTTATCAATGTAACAATTATTCAAACCATACAACTATCCACGCTATTAATCCATATAAACTAACCGATCACATAACATTTCAACAAATTCATCTCTACAATTATCCGTACTATTAATCAACTTTTGACTAACCAACTATATCACATTCTAGTAACCTCATCTTTACAGTCAGTGGTTATGGTACAGTTAGTAAGTGGTTATAATACAGTTTTAAAGTCACAGATCAGTTAGTAACAGTTATGGTATTATACATATAACATAAAACAGCAATTGTTAGTAATTTTTACACAATGTCAGTGGTTATGGTACATGTCAGTAGTTATGGTACCGTGCGCTATTTTACAGTTATACACAATTTACACTCCCACCAGACAGCAGAGCTCTAACTTTCTAGTAGGACATACAAGTTAACCAATTCACCAATGCTTGGATCACCCTGGCACCCCGACTAGATTTACCTCCGTTAAGGATGCTCCTAAGCGCTTCCTGAGGACTCCAAGCACTGCGGCAGACACCACAACCACCGAACCAGAGAAGCATATGAATCCTCTCAAGCATATGAATGCTGTAGACAGTTGAATAGGAACCATGCGAATAGGTTTACTCTCCTAGCAGTCAAACTGGAACAGCATACAATAAATCCTTCCCCCAATAATGAGACGACACTTCACTTTGAGGGTTAAAACAGGAACTCTCTGTGCTGTCACATACAGTCTCTTTTATTCCCAATCCCCAAACATAGTACAGCCCACAGGGCGTTACAAAGGCTCACCAATCATATCACAGTTACATCCCACATATTCCCTCCCCTTATCCTGAGAGGAAACTCAATTATACAAACAGTTAAAACATACTTTCTACTCAACTTTCATAACTCCAAAACCATACATCACATTCACATAAAATTACATATTCTCAATCAATCCATTCAGGGGAACAACATATTCAAAAATGGCACAAATCAGACAAGGGTTTCAAAAGTTAGTAAAAAGTCCTTTGTGACTAAATGAAGCATGGCTTTCTGGCCCAAACCAGTTTCAGAGTCTTCTATCCTGGAGATAAGTAATTCAATTATCTCCCAGCACAGACACAAGACTCCATTAAGCACATGGTTGCAAAAAGACACAAAACACTTTAAAATACATAAAGTCACATTTTACACATAACACACAGACATTTCACATATTCCCAGATAGCTCAGGTCTGAGCGCACATTATTAAGTGAATGGCGCTCGGACCACACAAATACAGTTTAATCGCCATGGAACCAAAGTCTTTACAGTCAGTTTCATACGAATGGGCTCCATGGGATTCCTATCTGGGGTATAACACATTCACATAAGGTCTGGTCCATAGTCCAGATTCCAATAACCAGTTCCAAATATAAAACCCCTTGTGGGTCTACCGCTCTAACGGTATCAATCTTACCTGTTAGTTTCTGGACCTGGGTTCACTCATAGACGGAACAATCCGGGACTCACTGCGCAGAAGCCGATGATCTCCTGGACAAAAGGCCAGTGGCGCCGAGACGAAAGGAGGTCCACGCAGTAGAAGTCCAGGATTGTAGCGTAGAAGGCGTGGTAAAAGTTTACCGTCTCAAATCTCTGCGCCAGCTTCCGTGCGATGAGGTTCCCGGCTGCCAATGCACCAGAGATGTTGCAGTGTAAGCATGCAGAAGCCAAACACAGAAATATTGGACACAGGTCTTCAGGAAGTAACAGGCCTTTATTCACATTACCGATCGGGTCTCAGATGAACTCCTGTTCCAACCTTCTGAGAGACCAACACATAGTGTACATTCCTTATATAGCACTATAACTCCTCCCATTAATAGCTACACCCACATATACCTTTAACCAATCAATGAGCAGAATATAGACTTGTACATCTAGTCAAACCACATGGCTCATCCAAGACAAAGGAAATAAGTGCAATTTCAGTTCCTGCATTCCTGCACATGCTCAGTACACTGATGACCGTATCCTAGCTACATGTAGCTAACCAACTGACACCACATGGAGATTTTGGCCTACTAAATTTTGACCATGCTGGAATCCCATCACACTAGTGTGCTTTGTGTAATGACCTTCTATGTGCATGTTATGAGCTGTGTGTGTGTGTGTCAGTGAGCTGTCTGTAGTGCACTGTGTGATCTTGCATGATTGGGTATATTAGTGAGCTGGTGTGTAGTGAGCTGTTTTTAGTGAGCTTGTATGTATCCAAAAGCTTTCTGCAGTGAACTGTATGTCCTGATTTTTCTGTAGTGAGCTTGTGTGTCTGTGGCTGAGCTTGAGATTATGTCAGTGAGCTTGTGAGTAGTGACAGTGTGTATATATCAGTGAGCTGGCAAGCGACAGATGACTACCAGACCCTCCGTCACTCCCACGCGTGGAAAAAACTCGGACCCCAGAGGTGACCGAGTTTGTGGCCAGGACATGCAGGCCTGCACACCAGCCTGGGGCTGGAGGGACATTCTCACTCACGCCTGCACAGCAGCAGACCGCCGAGACCCACTGACGAGCTCCTGCCGTTCCCTGAAAGAAGGCATCAGATGAAAGGGACTTTACCCAAGGCCTCCTGAACTCATTGCAAAGCGACCATGTCATAACATTGGTCCTGCCATGCCACACAACGAGACCGTGGAATTTACCGGGCAGCACCACACTCAAGAGGACCCCAGACCACAGTGAACAATTTCACTTTGACTTAGCTGGTATTTAGTATCTTATATTATTTCACCTAGCTTGCATACTAGCCACGTAACTTACCTTATAATTACTCACTCAGTGTCAGGTTCCAAGCAAATTCTTATTAACATTTATGCATATTCATATACTGACACAGCTAGACTTCAGCTGTTTACATTTTTCATAGCTTGTTACCTTACTATATTTACTTACTCAGTGTCAGGTTACAAAGCATATCTTCATTAATCCTTCTGCATTCTCACTCACTGACACATTTTGATTTAACCTGTATTTTACTTTAAAAATTGTGCTCAGTAATTTCTATGCCATATTATAATCTATTGTTGCATGGTTTCCTACTGCTATTGTGGCGTAGCAGACCTTATTGTTATCTCATGCACGAATAAAAATAAGGAATTGATAACAAGTTTTTTTTTTTTTTTAAGGGAATTATTTTGTGTCTGGAGCAGGGACATCTCCCCTCTAGCTTTAACAATTTCTCTGTCTTGAGCCTCAATTTTTGTGTTCAAGGCAGAGATCTCAGACATATTTGATCATTTTTAAATTTTGCATAAAATTCCTCCATTATTGCTATTAAACTTTGTTTAGTAATTACGTCTCTGTCTGGGACTATTGGATTATCATCAGGGCTTATTACGTTGGGTCCTTCTCTAGGGATAGGTGAGAGGGATCTCCTTTGTGACACTAATTTATTAATGTCGGACTTGGGTGAGTAATAAACACTGATTGGTTTATTTTTCTCTGATTTATCTACTGAAGAAGGTTTTTATGGTGCCATTTTTATTTAGTATTCCTTTATCTTTAAATTGCATCTCGTTGTCTTAATGTGGTCCTCCAGTATCAAAGAGAAAGGAGAAAAACAAAACAAACAAAAAAACGATAAAGAAAAGCAAGAGAAAAATAAATCGAAAAACAATAAACATCTGATCCTCCCACTGACACACACACACACACACTCACTGACAGACACACTCACACTGACACACACATACACACACTCACTGACACACAGACAGATGCATACACATACTCACTGACAGACACACACACACACACTCACTGACAGACACACACAGACACACATACTCACTGACAGACAGACACATACACTCACTGACAGACAGACAGACAGACAGACACACACTGACAGACACACATTCACACACTCACTGACACACAGACAGATGCATACACATACTCACTGACAGACAGACACACACACTCACTGACAGACACACTCACAGACACACACACTGACACAGGCACACACATACTTTTCTTTATTGCTCCCTACCTTTTGGACCCGATGGGGGGCATCTCCCTGGGTCCTTCTATCTGCTCCTCACTGCTTCCGTGCACGGTTTAGTGGTGCTGGAATATGATGTCATATTCTGGCGCCCGGCTTCACATCAGTCAGTGTGTGTGAGGGAGCAGTGAGGAGCTGGAACACTGAGCTCCCTCACTGACCCTCCTCCCCAGCCGGGTAAGTGTTAGCAGAGCAGGCTCCTGCAATGTGGAGAAAGCAGGTGCCTACACTGCTATAACACCAGCATGTATTCACGGCTCGCCGGGCCGCAAAGATGGTCCTTGTGGGCCGCGAGTTTGACATGCTTGCCTTACTGTGTTTCAAAGCTGTGTTCACCCGAAGTGGAGTTCACTCTGCTATATTGCACCTTTGCTATATTACCACGTGAGTTTTGCTTGTTGTAGTCGCGTCTGGCTTGTTCCTCCTCACGGGTTTCTTTGTAACTAGCTTGAGTATCAGCAAGACAGGTTTATTTGACGGCTAATTTCTCTGTTGTTCTCACGATAAAACAGATTCTTTCTTGATTTTTCTCGGACTTTGCTTTCACTACAGTTGGAGGTTGTTGCAATTCACCATCTAGCTTCCACCTCTCTTCATATCGCCACACCGGCGTTCAACACCACGTCCTGCATCCTACGTCATCCCTCTCCTCCCCTCCATGTTCCATTCAAATCTATTTCTGCTAATTTTTCGACGTACGTAGAAATTTGGTTGCAATATCTAGTTAAGGAAATGCCATCGTACTTGAAAGATTCCACAGATGTAATTAAAATTGTAAAGAATATTAAAGGACCACTATAGTGCCAGAAAAACATACACCCTCAGGGTCCCACTCCCGCCGGGCTGGATGGAGAGGAAGGGGTTAATCCCTTACCTTTCTCCAGCGCTGGGCTCCCTCGGCGCTGGGAACTCTCCTGCTCCTTCTGTCGTCATCGGCTGAATGCACATGCGCGGTATGAGCCGCGTGCGCATTCAGCCAGTCCATAGGAAAGCATTCTCAATGCTTTCCTATGGACGCTGGCGTCTTCTCACTGTGAAAATCACAGTGAGAATCGCGGAAGCGCCTCTATCGGCTGTCAATGAGACAGCCACTAGAGGCTGGATTAACCCATGGGTAAACATAGCAGTCTCTGAAACTGCTATGTTTGCAGCAGTCAGGGTTATCCCTGGAGGAACTTGGCACCCAGACCACTTCATTAAGCTGAAGTGGTCTTGGTGCCTATCGTGGTCCTTTAATTGGGAAGAAGGTTATTGTTAAAGATTACTGTAAGCTTTTTTACTATTTATTCACTTATGCACTGATTTTCCACTCAGTTATTTATACTTTCTGCACTTTATAGTGCACCGTGAGTTACATTTTATATATATATATTTACTATTGTGGGCATTATCATTGTTAGCACTTTATAGTGCACTTTCACTTACACTTTATAACTTTGTATATTATTTAAAGGCACAGCGCACCTTTTGTACTCTGTTGTTTTAATGTTTGTTTTTTGTTTTTTTAGCTTTTCACATTAAGGTGCAGCTTGTTTATACTTTTATATATTTCCACAGTATATTTTTACTAGCACCTTCTGTTTGCTTGTCAATTATTTTGTGAAAAGAAAACCATGCCTATGGATACGACTGAATAGTTGCATTGATAAGGAAGGAGACATGGAAGTTAAACTGGGCTATTGTAAGTCTTGAGACACATTGTTTAAACTGTTAGCAGGTCTATAGCCAGGAGACAGAACTAGAGCTGTCCCCATGGCACTGGATATTTGTAAAGGCCTCGTGCACAGTCTGGAGTCAGCCACAGCCTGTCCTGCTGTGCCATGAAGGTACGTGTGAGAGGCCATGTAGGCTGAGATCAGAGTGCTACACCCACCATGCTGAGTAGTAATTTCACACTGTGGGCTTGCTAAAGTTTCAGCTTATTTGGTGTCATCGTGGACACCGCATTGTTACCTCTCACCAAGTGGCCTTAATTTCCTGAATCACGAAGAGCAGGAGCTGCAGTGACTGGTGTCCGCACTAGTCAATATGTAACTCTTAATTATATGAAATATCTAAATTATGACCTTCATCTATACAGGGGCATACAACATCTAAACCCTATCTCACATCCATCCAATACTACGCAATGTCTAGATAATGACTCACATCATTATAATCACATGAACCCAAAGTATACAATGGCCAAGATCTCATATTAAAAAAATAAATAAATAAAAAGTCAAAACCTAGACTCGGGGTGCCCAAAAGGTAGCTACACAGATGTTTTAAAACTACAACTTCCATGATGTCTTGAAATTCTAAAATTGTGCAAAGACACACAAAGCATCATGGGAGTTGTAGTTTTCCATAATTTAATTAATTAATTTAATTTTTAATATGAGATCTTGGCCATTGTATATTTAGTAATGTTACCATTGTGTTCATGCCCACTTAATGCCACGCATTATCTACACCATAACTCTCTTTGGTTGTTTGACACGCACCTTCTAATGTTTGACCTATCTGGTGAAATGATTGCCCGTCCACCTTGGTTTCAGAAGCCCTTCTTAGAGACTGATTAGTGTGTTATTATACTAAACGCTTTCTGCGCGGACAGCTTCCCTCCCACCAATCTGAGGAGCTACAATAAAAAATGTATAAATTCATAAAACATTCTATAAAATATAACAAAGTTTACTCTTAGAATGAGTGTTTATCAGTGTTTCATCTTATATTAGTTATATAGTTATGTTTGTTAATCTGGACATTGTGTTCCCTGCAGTTCTTCTATGTCATACCTGCAGTCAGAGAGCCCTAGTGACTCCTTGTACAGAAAAGCTGGACCTTGTCTGCAAACATCACTTGGAAAGACTCAGAAGAAGGCCTGTCACCTTCTCCTGGAGGAGCTACAGATGGATCTGCAGGTATCATCAGCGTTTGGACTAACCCAAATGTTTTAGGCGTTGAAGGGTGTGTATTAATCAGATGCTAACCTTCTGCTTCACTTAACTAAAACACGAAGATGATGGCTCATTTATTAATAAATTTTTCTTGCATTCAGTTAACTGTATATTCTACCAAACTCAGAAATATGCAAATGAGCTGGTGGTTTGAATAAAAATAGACTTATTCTCACTGCACTGGGATGCACTGAGATGCATTCTTCTTCTTTCTTCATCCACAGAGTCACTGTTTAAGTAATTCTGTATGAAATCTCTCTTTTTTTTGTAATAGAGAAATTTATATAATCCTAAGAATTACTCTATATACCTACCCCTCCTTGTATAATATCTTAAACGTTTAGAGCAAACTCCACTAAGATCCTTTTAAACAGAGGGTTACTGTGTCCTTGCCTTTGATATGATATAGACTGTATATACATGAAAATGATATAGTTGCTATATGCATCAAAATAAAATATAATATAGGAGGTAGATAGAGCATCATAGAGGAAGGGGAGGAGACAGATGTACATTTTTAGAGATTCGAGTTCACTGCTCATTTATAGTGATTCTTAGCGCTGTTCAGAACCTTCCAATCCTGCATGGAGAGGAAATGGAGATATTGGAGTTTAATAAACAGTTTCTCCTAACATGGGGCCATACTAATCTGCCTTATTAGAGGGCTATAGCCTGGAAGGTCATTTGGAAGATAAACCCCATATGTAGGTTAATCCAAACAAAGAGGAGAATGGCCCATCCACGAAGGCTGATACCAAAGCCTTACTGCATGAAATGCATACGAAGTTTCAAGCTGACATGGCTGTGGTCAAGGAGGAAGTAGCCACACTGACCATCCGCATTGACGCTGCTGAAGAAAACATAGTAAGCTATCTACAAAATAACTGCACTGACTTATATGCTCATACAGCAACACTGGAGGATATGGCCAGGGTCCAAAACACTGGACTGAGGGGAGTTCCAAAGAAAGTTCCCAATGAAGAATTACCACATTATCTCTGTCATCTCTTCTCTACACTTTTGCTGCCTAAACATAGAAACACAGAATGTGACGGCAGATAAGAACCATTCGGCCCATCTAGTCTGCCCAATTTTCTAAATACTTTCATTAGTCCCTAGCCTTATCTTATAGTTAGGATAGCCTTATGCCTATCCCACGCATGCTTAAACTCCATTACTGTGTTAACCTCTACCACTTCAGCTGGAAGGCTATTCCATGCATCCACTACCCTCTCAGTAAAGTAATACTTCCTGATATTATTTTTAAACCTTTGTCCCTCTAATTTAAGACTATGTCCTCTTGTTGTGGTAGTTTTTCTTCTTTTAAATATAGTCTCCTCCTTTACTGTGTTGATTCCCTTTATATATTTAAATGTTTCTATCATATCCCCCCTGTCTCGTCTTTCCTCCAAGCTATACATGTTAAGATCCTTTAACCTTTCCTGGTAAGTTTTATCCCGCAATCCATGAACCAGTTTAGTAGCCCTTCTCTGAACCCTCTCTAAGGTATCAATATCCTTCTGAAGATACGGTCTCCAGTACTGTGTACAATACTCCAAGTGAGGTCTCACCAGTGTTCTGTACAATGGCATGAGCACTTCCCTCTTTCTACTGCTAATACCTCTCCCTATACAACCAAGCATTCTGCTAGCATTTCCTGCTGCTCTATTACATTGTCTGCCTACCTTTAAGTCATCAGAAATAATCACCCCTAAATCCCTTTCCTCATATGTTGAGGTTAGGACTCTATCAGATATTCTGTTCTCTGCCCTTAAACAGCAAAATATCTTCTAAATTATATATTGTTTTTAATTCCAGCTTCCAAAGGCCTCGTTCTTCCTAAATTCCCTAGGGACTCAGAAAAAGCTGTCTTTGTTTTTTGAAGGTTCTCATCTTACTTTTTGTAGGGACTTCTCCAGGCAGATGGTCCTAGGGCGTCAGTCACTCTAACCACTCACTACATGGTAACATTCTCTCTTGTAAGTGGGGAAATTAACAGCCATTGGTAGAAAAGAATGGCAATACCAACTCCATCCCCAGAGCTGTGGAAGCACATCTTCTTACTTTCTTTGAATCTGACGTTTGGTGGCGGGAAGTTCCTACCACCTATCAATGGGATGTCCTCATTGTTGTGCCTTTTATCCCAGGACTTACACCATCAGGGATGAGAGAACCCTCCAACCTAGTTCTGCTAGACCACAGCTCCTAATACCTTTCAGACGCTTCTACTGGCTTCATAAATCTATGCTTTCTTACTATACGCAGTTTGACCTCTTCCCTTCTTTATTTATTATGTCTTGTTTCTCTTTTCTTTTTGTATTCAGATTTAATATCCATTACTGACATATTAAGCTAGCTGATTACTTTATTTGTCCCCTTATCTCTAACATTCTCTCAAGCCTGGTGTTCAAATGGCTGATACCTGTTGTTGTTTTTTATGTTGACATGTTATGCTGCTATTTCACAAAACTTTTGGTTTGTATGGTACTTCTGCATTTGTATGTTTTACTCTAATGCTAAACTGGTTTTAATTCTTTATTATTGAAAGCAATCAGACAAAAAAATTAAATATTTTGAGGTATATACTGCCTATATAAAGTTCTAAGCATTATTTAGAGAGGTAGTTCTGTTGAGGTATAATATATAATGTGTGTGTACTGCCCACAAAATGCTGAACGATGTATAAAAATGGTGAATGCAGCCAACATAGAGCGGGCATACATAAAATGTGCTGCATGAACACAATATAAATATGAATATAAATGAACACAATATAACTGGATGGGAGAAGAATGAGACCAATCCATGGAAAAACAATCTGCTCCAGTACCTGCCGCGCTCCCCTGCCCTGTACCTGTCGCCCTCCTCCCTAGTTAGTTTACATAATACTAACCATCAGCCTGTAATAAACCAGCTGTAGATCCTTTACATCCACTAATGCGATCCTTTCTTTTTCCATGTTTGCAGCCTTTCTACATGCAGATCCCTTCCAGACCCTGGATTTTGGGTTCAGAAATTATCCATGTCATCAGTGACAAGGTGGAAAATTTCAGCCACTATCTGTGTAAAGTCAGGGATCCTGTGTGCCAGGTGAGTTACTCAGTGCATGGCTGCGTGCCAGGTGTGGTACTCACTGTGTGGATGTTGTATGTGGGTACCTAGGGTATGGCACGTGCCCAGAGTGCAGCACTGAACAGTGGCCAGGCAGGCAGTTTTATTCCTTCATGTCTTGGAGGAGAGGATCAGTGCTGGCCTGTGGAGGGTTCAGACCCCATTAATGGCTCCTTCGTATTCCAGTGTTCTTTAGTGAGTCAGAGCACAGCTGTTGGATGCTCCCAGTTTGCATTGTGACTAGCTGGTTGCCAAACTGCGAGAGAGGCATCCATGAGCTCTGTAACCATTGGATGTGCAAGCCCCCCACAAGATCAGCAGGGATTCAGGACCCACGCTAGACCAGTCAGAGATATCCTAGGGAGAAGGAGCTAGGGTGTAGGGGAGGGTGATATATCCCAGTTAGGAGGAGCTAGTAGGCAGGGGAGGGTGATATATCACAGTTAGGAGGAGCTAGTAGGCAGGGGAGGGTGATATATACCAGTTAGGAGGAGCTAGTAGGCAGGGGAGGGTGATATATCCCAGCTAGGAGGAGCTAGTAGGCAGGGGAGGATGATATATCCCAGCTAGGAGGAGCTAGTAGGCAGGGGAGGGTGATATATACCAGTTAGGAGGAGCTAGTAGGCAGGGGAGGGTGATATATCCCAGCTAGGAGGAGCTAGTAGGCAGGGGAGGGTGATATATCCCAGTTAGGAGGAGCTAGTAGGCAGGGGAGGGTGATATATCCCAGTTAGGAGGAGCTAGTAGGCAGGGGAGGGTGAAATATCCCAGCTAGGAGGAGCTAGTAGGCAGGGGAGGGTGATATTTCCCCCTAGGATGAGCTAGTAGGCAGGGGAGGGTGATATATCCCAGTTAGGAGGAGCTAGTAGGCAGGGGAGGGTGATATATCCCAGCTAGGAGGAGCTAGTAGGCAGGGGAGGGTGATATATCCCAGTTAGGAGGAGCTAGTAGGCAGGGGAGGGTGATATATCCCAGTTAGGAGGAGCTAGTAGGCAGGGGAGGGTGATATATCCCAGTTAGGAGGAGCTAGTAGGCAGGGGAGGGTGATATATCCCAGTTAGGAGGAGCTAGTAGGCAGGGGAGGGTGATATATCCCAGTTAGGAGGAGCTAGTAGGCAGGGGAGGGTGATATATCCCAGCTAGGAGGAGCTAGTAGGCAGGGGAGGGTGATATATCCCAGCTAGGAGGAGCTAGTAGGCAGGGGAGGGTGATATATCCCAGTTAGGAGGAGCTAGTAGGCAGGGGAGGGTGATATATCCCAGTTAGGAGGAGCTAGTAGGCAGGGGAGGGTGATATATCCCAGTTAGGAGGAGCTAGTAGGCAGGGGAGGGTGATATATCCCAGTTAGGAGGAGCTAGTAGGCAGGGGAGGGTGATATATCCCAGTTAGGAGGAGCTAGTAGGCAGGGGAGGGTGATATATCTCAGTTAGGAGGAGCTAGTAGGCAGGGTGATAACACTCATGTGGAGGTTTGTTTCCATGATTATATATTCCAAGACATGACCATATATGAAAAAACACAGATAAACGAAAACAATAGTGTACAGTGCAATGACATGTATGATCGTGATCAAAGATTCACTCCGTCCCAATAGTGCAATTGTAAGTGAATTGTGAGACAATAAATAATATTTAAAATATGTAGATTATCCCTAAAAGGTGAACATGAATGTACACTCTCATATGGGAGCAGAATAATAACTAAATGAGTTTTCCAAACTAAATCTTTAGGAAGTCAACTCACATTTTAATGAGTCTGCTTAAAAATTGGCTCAGGTAATATAGTTTCATGTACCAAGAAGATCCCATTCTGAATATAAGGAATGATATTACCCGAGCCAATGTTTCTTCTATCAGGTGGAATTGTATGTGAATAGCTGCCCTTGGTAACAGCCCAGATTGTATCGCACATCTTTTGTATTTTTACAGATAAGAGAAAGACACAGACCTAGAGATAGGTAGACAGAAAGACAGACAGAGATAGACAGAGCACACAGGAGCCGAGGAAACATGTTGCATTGTGAATTTGGGATATTGTTGGTACCCGCACAAATAGAGAATTATCTGTACATTGATGGGATAGTTATATTTAGGTTTACTTTTTCCCCAGAAACACTCAAACAGGTGTTACTACTGCCAGCCAGATCCATTTGTTGTACAGGAGTTTTAGTTCCAGTGATATCTCAGGGTTGTATTCTTTCTGTGCAGGTATTGCGGGCTCAGACGGAGAGGATGTTAATCATTGAGTATGTCAAAGCCTTGATACATGGGAAGCTGGTGTGTAAGAACTCTAGGGAGCGGCAGCTCCTGGCGGAGAGGATGTGTGCAGATGCTGAGGTGCTGAGTGCTACCCTCAGTAGGATGGTGAGTGCACAGTATGGATCATATAGTATGGACCGCATAGTATAGACTTTATAATACAGACCGCAGAGCATGGACTATATACACCCTGTTCCAAATCTATTATGTAAATTCTATTTAAGTGTCACAAAGATGAAATATTTAGTTTTTCAGTTTAACTCATGAATGGCATTCAGTCTCCGGGCTCTCTAGATCACTGAAAGCAATCTCGGACACCTGTGATAATTAGATTGCCAGGTGAGCCCAATTTAAGGAAAAACTACTAAAGGAGGGTGTTCCGCATTATTAAGCAGAGCACCATTTTCATGCAATATGGGGAAGAAAAAGGATCTGTCTGCTGCCGAAAAGAGTGATATAGTTCAATGCCTTGGACAAGGTATGAAAATATTAGATATTTTTTACGAAAACTTAAGCGTGATCATCACACTATTAAGGGATTTGTGGCTGATTCAGAGCACAGATGGGTTTGTGCAGATAAAGGCACATTGAGGAAGATTTCTGCCAGATCCATGCATCGGATCAAGAGTGCAGCTGCTAAAATACCATTATATAGCAGCAAACGGATATTTGAAGCTGCTGGTGCCTCTGGAGTCCCATGGACATCAAGGTGTAGAGTCCTCCAGAGTCTTGCAACTGTGCATAAACCTTCTATTTGGCCACCACTAACCAATGCTCACAAGCAGAAACGGCTGCATTGGGCAGAAAAATACATGAAGACTACTTTTCAAACAGTCCTGTTCACTGATGAGTGCCGTGCAACCCTGGATGGTCCAGATGGATGGAGTAGTGGATGGTTGGTGGATGGCCACCCTGTTCCAACAAGGCTGCGACGTCAGCAAGGCGGTGGTGGAGTCATGTTTTGGGCCCGAATCATGGGAAGAGAGCTGGTTGGCCTCTTTAGGGTCCCGGAAGGTGTAAAGATGACCTCTGCAAAGTATGTGGAGTTTCTGACTGACCCCTTTCTTCCCTGGTACAGAAGGAAGAACTATGCTTTCCGTAATAAAATCATCTTCATGCATGACAATGCACCATCTCATGCTGCAAAGAATACCTCTGCATCAATGTCTGCTATAGGGATAAAAGGAGAGAAAGTCACGGTGTGGCCTCCATCCTCCCCTGACCTCAATCCTATTGAGAACCTTTGGAGCATCCTCAAGCAAAAGATCTATGAGGGTGGGAGGCAGTTTACATCCAAACATCAGCTCAGGCTATTCTGACATCTTGCAAACAAATTCAAGCAGAAACTGTCCAAAAACTCACAAGTTCAATGGATGCAAGACGTGTGAAGCTGCTATCAAATAAGGGGTCCTATGTTAAAATGTAACGTGACCTGTTAAACTTAAAACAGAATGTTTGAAAAGTTAAAATGTTGATTGAAATAGCTTTTGATTTCAGTAAATATGCTGCAAACACAACAAATGACAATTTTCAGTTCTTTACAACCTATAAAGTGTTTTGAAACGTACTGTGCGTAATAATTTGGAACAGCGCATTGTAAGTTTATGTTTAAAAAAAATACTGTTATCATTAGGAGGTTTGTTCAATAAAATTTGAATTGTACTCTTAATAGTTGATAACATGAGAATTATGCTGACTGTTATTTTACACATTTACCTAAATAATTGATGTAAATATCATTTGCATAATAATTTGGAACAGGGTGTGATACAGACCGCAGAGTATGGACTATATAATACAGACCGCAGAGTATGGACCGCATGGTATGGACGTTCCAGGTGCAGGGGTTAAATTCAGACATTTCATCTTTACTTCTCATGTCTCTAGGGTTTGGAGCAATCAACTCTCTGCATCCCACTCATTCTGTCTCTTCAGGAATTGTTTGCTCTGAAGGATCCATCTTTGCTCAGTCTAGAAGTATCTGGATTAATGACAATGTTTCCAGATATAAGGTTTGAAATAGTAGGAGCTGAAAACAGTGTTGGCATGAAACAAACAAACTGTCTCTATAACATAATTACTCTCCCAATCCCATGTAAAATTTCTGACCAGTCTTTATAAATCCAACTCCCCCCATTGTCCGTCTGTGATCAGTCTTTATAATCCCAACTCCCCCCATTGTCCGTCTGTGATCAGTCTTTATAAACCCAACTCCCCCCATTGTCTCTCTGTGATCAGTCTTTATAAACCCAACTCCCCCCATTGTCCGTCTGTGATCAGTCTTTATAAACCCAACTCCCCCCATTGTCCGTCTGTGATCAGTCTTTATAATCCCAACTCCCCCCATTGTCCGTCTGTGATCAGTCTTTATAATCCCAACTCCCCCCATTGTCCGTCTGTGATCAGTCTTTATAATCCCAACTCCCCCCATTGTCCGTCTGTGATCAGTCTTTATAATCCCAACTCCCCCCATTGTCCGTCTGTGATCAGTCTTTATAATCCCAACTCCCCCCATTGTCCGTCTGTGACCAGTCTTTATAATCCCAACTCCCCCCATTGTCCGTCTGTGATCAGTCTTTATAAACCCAACCCCCCCCATTGTCCGTCTGTGATCAGTCTTTATAAACCCAACTCCCCCCATTGTCCAACTGTGATCAGTCTTTATAAACCCAAACCCCCCCCATTGTCTGTCTGTGACCAGTCTTTATAAACCCAACTCCCCCCATTGTCCGTCTGTGATCAGTCTTTATAATCCCAACTCCCCCCATTGTCCGTCTGTGATCAGTCTTTATAAACCCAACTCCCCCCTATTGTCCGTCTGTGATCAGTCTTTATAAACCCAACTCCCCCCAGCTACCTCCATGGTCAGTCTATACCTGGTCCTTCTAATTCCAATCCCCTTCTCCACCACCTCGTACTCTCTTCCAAATAATTCCTCCCTGGTCCCTTGACTGTGGCAGTGTACCTTCTGAAGTGACAGTTTACAGAACAAAAATCTTTCTGCGTTATATTATACAATACCACAGAATTTCATGTCTGTGACAGGTCTGTGGGTTTTTTCTTTTTTTTTTAAAGACTCTCTTGGGTCAGTAATCTGGGTTTTATCCTCTTGGAGATTGAATAACATGTGGCTCTAGAGATAAAAGAGGTTTGCTAAGTATATCGTGATTGTGAGAATATAACTTTTCTCTCTTCCTAGTGATGATCATGTACTGGCTCTACTGGAACTGAGGGGAGATGTAAGCAGAGATGTCCGTCATGGGGTGATCAGTACAATGCAGAACCACGCACTGTCACTGCCACTTGACTATCAGCCAATATTCACAAGTATTCCAGTGCCTGCACCTCCTCCATCATTCTGCCTTCACCCCAGCTCGTGTGCTTAATGTATGATCACAAACAACATAACTGCTCCTTCACCCTTTATACCCTCACAAGCCTAGCATTACTGTCTCTTTAGCTAAAATAATAAAGCCTTCTAACATAAATAAATCCTATGAAAATGATCACTTTTTTTTTTATTTTTTAGATGCCAGTATGTTTTGTACAATATTCTATATTACCATTTACATTTATAGTTCATGTGGTAGTAAATAAAAATAAAGAAATACACTCTACACAATAAATAGAACGATAAATGTTTCCATTTCTTACATTGATTAAGAAGTGCTTTAAGGGAGGGAGCAGACATTCTTATAAACCCCATGTAATAATGTCTACCAGGAGTAGTTATACCATAACACTGTGACGGCACTAGAATGATATAATATAATTCTATAAATACAGACACTGGGAGGTATGGTAGAGGTTATATGTTATATAGAGGGTATACCGTATATATTATATAATTCTATAAATACAGACACTGGGAGGTATGGTATAGGTTATATGTTATGTAGAGGGTATACGGTATATATTGTATAATTCTATAAATACAGACACTGGGAGGTATGGTATAGGTTATATGTTATGTAGAGGGTATACGGTATATATTGTATAATTCTATAAATACAGACACTGGGAGGTATGGTATAGGTTATATGTTATGTAGAGGGTATACGGTATATATTGTATAATTCTATAAATACAGACACTGGGAGGTATGGTATAGGTTATATGTTATGTAGAGGGTATACGGTATATATTGTATAATTCTATAAATACAGACACTGGGAGGTATGGTATAGGTTATATGTTATGTAGAGGGTATACGGTATATATTGTATAATTCTATAAATACAGACACTGGGAGGTATGGTATAGGTTATATGTTATGTAGAGGGTATACGGTATATATTATATAATTCTATAAATCCAGACACTGGGAGGTACGGTAGAGGTTATATGTTATATAGAGGGTATACGGTATATATTATATAATTCTATAAATACAGACACTGGGAGATATGGTAGAGGTTATATATTATATAGAGGGTATACGGTATATATTATATAATTCTATAAATACAGACACTGGGAGGTATGGTATAGGTGATATGTTATATAGAGGGTATATGGTATATATACCACCCTCGGGTTAGCCCCCCCATATTGAGAATTTTAACAAAAGATTATTCCATTTGTTAGATCTTTGTTAGATCAGGTTTGATCAACAATTTTTTTTCGTTAGATCTACTCTAAAATATGCGATATTAACAATCATTGTCAGGGGGGGCTAACCCGTAGCCAGCCCCCCCTCAACAAAAATTTGTAGAAAATGTTGTTGATTATGACAGCTCTATGTTAGATCAGGTTTGATCAGGCAAAATTTTTGTTAGATCTAGTCTAATTACTGAGATATTACATATATAATTAGGGGGGGCTGGCCCCCCCTCAAATGAAATTTGGACAAAATGTTACTGATTTTGGTAGCTATTCGCTAGATCAGGTTTGATCAACAGTTTTTTTAGTTAGATCTATCACGCAAGAGCCGGTATTCACTACTTAACTTTGTGGGCGTGACTACGGGTTAGCCCCCCCTCAAGTGAATTTTGATTTTTTTTTTTTTATTGATTTTGGTCGATATTCGTTAGATCAGGTAAGATCAACTATTTTTTCCCGTAAGATCTATGTAGATCATTTTCAATATTTTTTTTTTATTCTCTACATGCACAGTATTGAGGTGATAAAGTCCAGCATATGCCCAGTCTGAAAACAGTTCTGTAAAGAGGAATGGTCAAGAATTACTCCTGACCGTTGTGCACGTCTGATCTGCAACTACAGGAAACGTTTGGTTGAAGTTATTGCTGCCAAAGGAGGTTCAACCAGAAATGTTTGGTTGAAGTTATTGCTGCCAAAGGAGGTTCAACCAGTTATTAAATCCAAGGGTTCACATACTTCTTCCACCTGCACTGTGAATGTTTACATGGTGTGTTCAATAAAAACATGGCAACATTTCATTCTTTGTGTGTTATTAGTTTAAGCAGACTGTGATTGTCTATTGCTGTGACTTAGATGATGATCAGATCACATTTTATGACCAATTTGTGCAGAAATCCATATCATTCCAAAGGGTTCACATACTTTTTCTTGCAACTGTATTAAAATATCACTAATAAATTCAGGCTGGGCATATGCTGGACTTTATCACCTCAATACTGTGCATGTAAAGAATAAAAAAAAAATATTGAAAATGATCTACACATTGTGTTAGCAAATCCAAGCAAATTCCTAAAAATATGATGTCACCTGTGGCTTGATATGAAAATTTACTGGTATTTATGTGCAAAATTAAAATAAGATTGTGAATACCGCCTTTTGCGTGATAGATCTTATGGAAAAAAACAGTTGATCTTACTTCATCTAACGAATAGCTACCAAAATCAATTAAAACATTTTTTTAATTTCAGTTGAGGGGGGGCTAACCCGTAGTCACGCCCACAAAGTTAAGTAGGGAATACCGCCTCTTGCGTGATATATCTAACTAAAAAAACTGTTGATCAAACCTGATCTAACGAATAGCTACCAAAATCAGTAACATTTTGTCCAAATTTCAGTTGAGGGGGGCCAGCCCCCCCTAATTATATATGTAATATCTCAGTAATTAGACTAGATCTAACAAAAATTTTGCCTGATCAAACCTGATCTAACGTAGAGCTATCATAATCAACAACATTTTCTACAAATTTTTGTTGAGGGGGGGCTGGCTATGGGTTAGCCCCCCCTGACAATGATTGTTAATATCGCATATTTTAGAGTAGATCTAACGAAAAAAATTGTTGATCAAACCTGATCTAACAAAGATCTAACAAATGGAATAATCTTTTGTTAAAATTCTCAATATGGGGGGGCTAACCCGAGGGTGATGAGTCTCTGGTGTTTATCACATTGGGGCTGGGTTCAGTCTCTGGTGTTTATCACAGTGGGGCTGGGTTGAGTCTCTGGTGTTTATCACAGTGGGGCTGGGTTCAGTCTCTGGTGTTTATCACAGTGGGGCCGGGTTCAGTCTCTGGTGTTTATCACAGTGAGCCTGGGTTCAGTCTCTGGTGTTTATCACATTGGGGCTGGGTTCAGTCTCTGGTGTTTATCACATTGGGGCTGGGTTCAGTCTCTGGTGTTTATCACAGTGGGGCTGGGTTGAGTCTCTGGTGTTTATCACAGTGGGGCTGGGTTCAGTCTCTGGTGTTTATCACATTGGGGCCGGGTTCATTCTCTGGTGTTTATCACATTGGGGCTGGGTTCAGTCTCTGGTGTTTATCACATTGGGACTGGGTTCAGTCTCTGGTGTTTATCACATTGGGGCTGGGTTGAGTCTCTGGTGTTTATCACAGTGGGGCTGGGTTCAGTCTCTGGTGTTTATCACATTGGGGCTGGGTTCAGTCTCTGGTGTTTATCACATTGGGGCTGGGTTCATTCTCTGGTGTTTATCACATTGGGGCTGGGTTGAGTCTCTGGTGTTTATCACAGTGGGGCCGGGTTCAGTCTCTGGTGTTTATCACAGTGAGCCTGGGTTCAGTCTCTCGTGTTTATCACATTGGGGCTGGGTTCAGTCTCTGGTGTTTATCA